CGGGTGTGATGGCAGAAACCTTGGAACTTACCAGGCTCCCACCACTCCAGGAACGTATCTGCTGGTGGTGGTTACACCAAATTGAGCCGCAGCCCTGTGCCAAAAAGGATGAGAAGCCCCTCTTTTAACACCGAAGTAGAAATGTTTGGTCTTAAAGCAAAATCCCATTTTCCTTCGGGTTTATAACGGAAGCTCTTGTGCTTTCTCTTGGATAGCTGGTGAAAGTGCGTGAAGCTGCGTTTTCATTAGGGAGGGAGTAGATCACGGGTGTCCCGTGGAATTGTAGTTTCCCAAAGGTGAGTGAGAGGCGTTGGGAGTTGAGAGGCTCCCGCTGAGGGATTTGATGCCACCGCTGGCATCCTTCCTGCCTGCGGGCTTATGCGAAGGGAGGGAGGCTGAGGAGGAGAAAGGGAGGCATCGCTGTTGTGAGGAGGAGAGGGTAGATGCGTGGGAGGGGACCGTGGCTGGACAAGGATCTCAAGACTGAGCCAGGAACTGCAGGAGAAAAAAAAAAAAAGTTAAACCCCAGTTTTCAGCGCGGGCTGTCCTTCAGCCCCTTGGGCTTTTACTCTTCCTCCATAACGTGATCTGCGTAAGTGCTCAGACACGGGGACTGTATCCCGCTTCTCTGGGAAGGGACCGTGGCGTTCCGGTTGCTGCGGCACTTCCTAGCGTGGTGACGGGCTCGGGAAAGCTGGGCACCGGTGGTGCCTAAATCCCTCTGCCCTGCCGTGCTCGTTTGCTGGCTGCGGAGCTGGGGGGGGGGGGGGGGGACAGTTGGAACCGCGGGGGCTTGGTGCTTCTCGACTGGTGACGAGTCTGGAGCCAGGTACTCCATGTGTGCCCACGGATCGGGATCCGTGCGCTACCCCCCCTTGCACCACATCCCTTAAGGATTTGTTGGGAAAGGCTACCTGAGAGCCCTGGGATGGGGAAAGCGCACGGGAAGGGCTCCTTGGCGGCGGGGAGAGATCCTTTCCCAGCGCTGCCACAGGGATGTGCTGGGCGCTGCGCCGCGGCCTCGCAGCACCAAGCTCCTTCTGCCACCTCCTCTTTGTGCCCACAGCTTCCCTTTCCCCTGGCCCAGGGGGGTTTGGTTCCTTGGCTTTGGGGAGGGTTGGGGTTTGGGGGGTTTTTTTGGGTGGGTTTTTTTTTGTTTGGGTTTGTTTTTGGTTTTTTTGATAAAAGGAATCATTGGTCTTGGGGCCTTTTAATGCTTGTGGATGTCTTTGTGGGTTTTTTTTAAACAGATTATGGCACCTACAGATTTTAACTATACCTGGAGCTCAATAAACAAGCGACAGAGGTCCTGTCGTCAGCGGGATGTTGTTGCCTATGCTGTGGTTTCCCCCTTTGCGTGGAGGAACGTTCTCGCCAAGCTGAGAAGAGCTGGGTGGTTCAAGCGTTTGTTTTATCCCTCCCGAAAACACTCGTGTGGAGCCTGCTCGCTGTTGGTTCACTTCTTCCCCATTGCACCTTCTACCAAAGCCATCGCAGCTGAGTCGGGGCCCTTTTCTGTTGATGGGCCTGTTCAAAACCCAGAGGGGAAGCAGGAGGGGGCTTCAGGCCGCCATGCGTGT